TCAATAGTTATATTAAAATGTGCATAAATATGCAATCAAACTGTAATATTGTTATGATATTTGTAAATTCAACACCACATTATATGTATATAAATTGGATCGGTGCACTACTAAAGGTTACTTCAGTAAACGTACAAAACATATAACCCTACATTATGTGTCAGTGTTTGACCCTATTTTGTATGCACCAATATAATCCTAAGTTAACGATAGTATACTGGTATGATATTGAGACCAGTAAGGAGTAAGGACGTCATAGAAACATGTATAAGTAATGAAAAAGATATGAATAAATTTGAAAATTATATCTAAAAAAAAAAAAATATTTTCTTGTTGCTATGAAAATACAACTTGCTTAAAAACTAGTTAAATTCTTAACTGTCTCTAACTCATAATATGAAAAAAAAGGGTGTTAACAGAAATAACAACTAACTGCGACGTGGTTAGGTTTATGTTTATTGTGGATTTCCTGTAACGATTAAATTCTTAATTCGAGATTGAAGTTGTGTTTGGGAGATGGTGGATTGTGCATGCACAATATTATTTATGATGAGAGGTGATTCAGGACAAACATATTTATTCTGTTTGTTATGATATTAGTATAATACAAGGCATACTAACAGTTAATACGTTCAATATTAGTGTTACTATATACATGTCTATGTAATCGAACGGTTTTATTGTTAAGATATTTGTACATTCAATAGGATATAGAAAAAAATAGCTATGTATATCAATTGGATCAGTGCACTACTAAAGTAATGGTTAAACATACAAAGCACTCATCCCTATGTGTATCATGTCAGCGTTTGACCCTATTTCGTAGATTCCAGTATAATATCAGGTTAACGATTCAACGATAATATACTGCGGTATAATATTGCGACCAGAATACCGGTAGGGGAGTAGGAACACTATACAGAAACATGTGTAATGAAAAAGATATGAATCATTTTGAAAAATGTATTAAAAAAAAAGAAACATCTTCTTGTTAGATTACGCGAAGAAAATACGACTTGCTTATAAAATTAGTTAAATTCTTAGTTCTAAAATTTGTTTTCATAATATTATAATATGATGAAATATTAAGATAATTAAAAAAGTTAACAGATTTAACGAGTTGATAAAATTATTATTTAATAACAATAATATGACTTTTCAAAAGTAATAATAATTATTGTTAATTATTGTAATGCGGTTCTGTTAGCATTTCAATTTGGGTATTCACTTATTTTCGTTATTTACAATTACTTTGAAATTTGAATACCGAAAACATATTATCCATTTCGGTTTTTATAATAATTAAAAACAAACTTAAACCTACTTGAACATTTTTATGATATTATTTATTATATTTTCTGATCTTCAATTTTCACGTTTATAAATATTAAAGCTTAAAAGTACCTATACATTGTACTGCTAAAAGTGTTAAAAATAACTTTCTATAAAACCACTATCTTCCTCTCACTTATCAATGTATAAAATATCCGATTACACTATTCAAGTATTTTATGTAATGCTTTTTATTTATCAGTAAAAGTAGCATAGTATTATGTGGTGACACTTACAATTATTTTGGCCTCAATGGAAAATTTAAACACTGGCAAAATTTGAACTGTTCATTTTTATTCTTAAAATCTGAATTCTGAATAAAATAAAATAGGTAATACGATTTTTTGTCGATAAACCAAGGTTTACGTTTCAGTATATTAACAATAAGCACTTCTTGTAACGTTCGGTTAATAGGCTTGTTAAGACAATTACATAAAAGTTACGATGATTAATTCATCGAGCTTTCAAGTAGTTTAAGTCATCACAGAACAAATTACGTGACATTCATTGGTGGCAATGCGTCCGCTTCTACGTTACATTAATTCGTTATTATGTCACTCATCTTATTGTAAAATGTTTCATATTATTATGATAATTATTAATTTTCAATTTGGAAAGTGGCGGTAAGCCACTGTTATCTGAATTACCAAACAAATAATAAGTGAGAAACATTCTTCTGGAAAACTTCTACCCATCGCGATCGTATGATTATCATGGCTGTTGAGATAATGCAATTTATATCGTAATTGGTACAAATATCGAACAGGGATGCTTTATTTTCTTTCAATATTTAATTTGTTCATTTTATGTGAGTTATGCCGAAGAGCAACTTATGATCTGATAGCTGATCCTAAAATCAACGAGTAAATGGTTTTCAATATTTATGTTTTTTTTTCCTCGGAAAGTTGCTGTGTCTGTCAATGATATTAATATTTCCTCAGATTATAAAGTACGTAGAGTTTTCATAAAAAAGTAGAGTTTCCGCTGAAAAAAAATCATTTTCCGATGCTTTCCCATGGCTCCAAGGCTCATCGACCACATCGGCCTGTTGACGCCACTGATGCGGAGGAACATTAACGATATTACGAAATATCAATGAAACATTGTTTACTACCCACTATGGTATATAATATTATAGTTGCACTTTAGTCGCTATAAGTGTAATAATATAATATGTTGTGTATTTTGTGATAAGTGCATACCAGAAATACACTACAACAACAGGTCGTCAATACATGGTTGATAGAGTGAAATAAATTGAATGCGCATATAGGTACACAAATTAATAGATATACCATTGTAACTACGCATGTACATTGTTTTAGTGTCTTGTTGACAAATTTGTAGTCCGAGTTCAAAATTTAATGGTGTTACCCTTATTATATTACCATTACAAGTGTATACATATTTCATAGTCATTGTACAGTTTTAAACACTTACTTAAAAATCCTGTCTTACAAATATTTTGTAAAACATAGCAAAGTGCTAAAAATTTAAAAGTACTCACTATACTCATGCATTAAAAATGTGTGTACTGACCTGTGTAACAAATGTCGGCCTAGAACGCTCAAAGGCTGAGCTAACGCCTTTGCATAAAATACATTTTTTCCCCGTTTCTTAAGTTGAAATTGTACTTATAATAATAATAATAATAATGGGTAATCAGTGTTTACCAAACAATTACTGGTAAGAATATGCGTTGGACTGGTGCGCGGTGGTTTATTTATATATTACTATTAAACGGGCATTATGCCAAATACTACGATTTGACAAAAATAAGTATTATAGTTTACCGAAATTAAACTTCTTATAAACTAGACGAAAAAAAGAAATAGTTACAACAATAATAATACAAACATCAATTGTAAAATACAATTTTTAAAAACGATGTGTTATAATCTCAATAATGCAGGGTGCTCATTGGCGTCAGCTTATTTATACCTTAATAATAGTGTTATGAATAGGAATAATTGAAAAAGAAAAGTTGGTAAGATTTTGTGGAACGATCGGGAACTCCAAAGTCTAATTTATGATAAGAGAGATAAGGCTCATCAACGTGTCCATTTATCAATTTTCTCAAGATCAACAAGTTAGCTGTGACACTTTTTTCCACTAATGAGTTAAGTCTAAGATGTATTGATACATGGAGGTAATCACGAAAAGTATTTTGAATTTTTAATATTCAAGTGGATGATGATAAATAAAAGAACTTCTTAACTCACTCTAAAAGTAAGAAATACAATATTATAATAATATTGTCATGCACATACTTAATATGCCCATTCTCGTGTGACTCGGGTTTGTGTTTAGTTTGATCTTGTCAATATATCAAGTGCAGTGGACGACAATGATTGGCAAAGTACCTGACGCGTTGATAATATTATAATGTGAGATTCTCCCGTGCTCGAACAGCTGTGATTTTCGCTAAGCCAAAACTGCAGTTGCAACTGTCGACCGTCCCAGCAGACGACATGAGTTTAATCTTATCGTGCCAGTGGCTCTATTCGAGTGATAAATCTGAAAAACGTTTAATTTCATTAGTCGTCATGTTTGCGGTCGAGGAGACAGACTTTAAAAATAAACTTTTTAAATGTCATAGGTAACAATCACAATACGTTTGGTATTTTTCAACTTTTAGAATCGAATTTTATGTGCCTAATATTATTGTGCATATCGATCGTTCGGTGAGGGGTGCCGACACATTTTATGACACGAGTGGCCGATAATTTGACCCGATTCGGAAAAATACGGTTGATACTCAGGTCACATAGTTGTATTATTTAATAAATAAATTCAAACAGAGCACATAGCTGACTTTTTAAAAACTACCTTACTTCGATAGTTCGATCTTATTTGACGGTTCGATGCACTTCAGCTGTCGCCGCTGCTATAGTCGCTGTTATATAGCTATAGCTGCTGATCTGCAGGCAGCATAATAATATACATATAACCACCTATAAACTCGTATTGCGAACTTAATAATTATTAACAGAATATATTATTATAATATGATGTGCGATGGTGTACGTCGAATAATAAAAGTTGTATTGCAACGCATAGTAAACCAACAACAGCTCCGCATATATTTGAAATGGACTTAACAAACTTTTATGCAGCTTACATTTTTTTTTCACTTATAGCAAACCGAATGTACGTAATACTTACACAACATTACAATGAATCTATTTATCGTTAAAAAAATCAATTGACTTTAGTTGTATTAGTAAAAACGACTCAATATAAAAACGAAAATGTAGGTTTTTAATATTTTTTTCACATTTGTAGATATAATCTTCATACCACGCAAATGTATCCAAATCTCTGTTCTTTTATTGTTTAGGAAAATAATAAACATTGCCGTCCTAAAATGCGTTGAAGACTACTCTCACATTTAATTCCCTCGTCCCCATTTAATTATGCTGCTAATTGAAAAAAAAATACCGTAAAATGAAATAAAAAATTTTCTAATAAGTCAAGAAACTTAACAATATGCAAGATTTATTTTGTGATGATTACTCGTGTTGGTACATTCATATTGTATTCAAATTTAATTTTTCTTAAAATGTCTCAGAAATCTCCTGTAATAAACCGTCGGCGCAAAAAATATACGCCAGAGACGAAACGTCATCGTTTTCTAGGATATAGCTCTTATCGTGTGGTTTTTTCAGGTGTCAGTCTTTCGACCGTCGGACGCTTGAAACCGACGAGACATCTCGAATCAGTGACAGACCAGCGACGACTGCCATGAAGCCCGACCAGCATCGCAGACACCACCGCCACCAGCACCAACTGCACCGCCGCGGTCGGTGTCGCGGGCCACCATTGGTCGCGGCCGTGGCGCTGTGGGCCGCGGTGGCCTGCGTCACGGTGCCCACGGCCTCGCCGTCTCCGGCCACCGGTGACATGAGCCTGTTGACCATGCAGCGCATCAAGTCTTACGTGGACGACACGTGTACGTTGGACCCGCACTGCCAGTGGACGTGGGACTCTCTGCCAAACGGGCTGCGGAACGTGACCGCGGATGAAGCCGCGACTGCGGTGCCGGAAGACTACCTGTTCCCGCCGGGCGACGACTCTGAGAAACCAGGACAAAGAGGTGAGTGCCCGCAAGCAAATATTACTATAGTCGGGGGGGGGGGACTTAACTCCAGACATGCGTATCGGATGCAGACGGTTTTGTTTTTCGACGAAAACGTGTATTTTATCTTCTTTTCGTCCATCACACAGACACGACTATTAATGTGATAAGAAATATGAATATATCATGCTTAAATTCACAAGAATCTTACATGAGATTGATCATCCTCTCTTCCTGATGGTTTTTCGAGGTCCATTTACTTTCCTTTCTTAATTTTTGAATTGACATCTATCTAACGAGTTGTGTAGTGTACTGTTCATACAGATACGGTTCCAGTAAGCATTATAGTTGGCACTGTAAAGTCGACGCATTGTTTGTTGTTTACAAATCAATGTTATATTTTTTGTGCGAGAGGTGATCAATTCTTTGACGACCAGCATTAGTTATTTTTTCCGATTTCTCATCACATTTTCAGCAATGGCTGCAAACAGTACATCATTTTTTAGTGATGAATATTATTTGTCGACCATAGATTGGTAATATTTGGGTCCTTGTTTGGAAATATACTAATTATCCATTTTTTTTCATTCAAACAGCGTATACTTATAAAATGTCTATCGTTGAACTAATCAAAAACAATCGGTATCGAATTTCAATAAAACTGCCTATCCGCTAATAATGTCAACTATGTCATATCAATCTTGTGTCAAGCAGAACCAATTTTATATTGATAAAAGAATACAAATTTGATAGGAAAATGGTAGGTAATGGTTGACAGTTAGTAGCTGAAATGTAGTATAATACAGTTATTATTATAGTTTTGATTAGAACAAAAAACAAATATCGTGAATTCGTGACTTAACGTAAAACAAATATTATCATTTTTAAATTTGATATTTATTTCAATAGACAATAGGTCGTTTGAAATTTAAAATCTTTCTGCTGAACAATTGAATAATTTGAGATAGGTAAGACATTTTGGATGCGAGTATTTATTAAAACACAATTTTCGTAAATAAATATACCTAATACACACTTAGCTATAATATGATTTATAATTTTAAAAATTATTATGTAATATATTACGTCTTGTTACTATCAATACATTTTCAATTATCATGAAAAGTGTTTGAAAAAAATGATCGCTAAGAAAGGTGAAGTTGTGTAACCTAGCTATGATGTTGAATGAAATCAATGCACGTTCACAATACATATGTCGATTTATTCAATTTCCAGTCATGAAATTACACCGGAAATACATAATATATATTTATATTAACTATAAAAAAATTATTTTTCTATTCTAACTTTTTGTCAACGTTGAGTGCTCCAGAGAAAAAAATCGTGGTTTAAGTAATTAAAATCGAATTTTTATAGTTTATATTTTTGGAGATCCTTTCATTATTCAAACGGACAATTGAGTTCGTTAATATTGTTTAATATTTTATCAACTAAAAAATGTGTGGTCATAACTTAAATCATTCTACATGGAAAAATTTGTTAATGTTAGAGCTAGCTAAGGAAATGATGAAATAGTAAATAAAGATATTATATTTTAAGAGTATGTATGGTAGATAGTAGTTAATAAATTAATGTATTGGGTAAACATCTTCGAATTGACCAGTTCACTAAAACAAAAACAGTTATCTTCAGGTAATGGTGATTAACCATTTTACTGGGTTTTTGGCCAGAAAGCACAACTTAGACTCATATCTAGAGCATTTCTTAGAAATACATTAGAAATATTAAATTCAGCAATGTTTTAAGAAATGTTTGTGTACAAAAAAATACTATAATAATAAATGTATTTGTAAAACGAAAAATGTATTATGCAACTCTTGCTGATATAACTCACTTGATTGTATATATAAAAAAAGATATAATAACATTACGGTATAATAATACAAATGTATTAGGTAGGTACATATTTTATTTATGAAAACCGAGCTTAAACAAACACTCGTACGTGATTGTAATGTATTACTTTGTACAGGAAGAGACGTAAAAAATATTTTTTGCATTAAGAAAGTGTGTAATTATATTATGTGCATTTGTAATAAAACATATCATACCTACGGAAACTCTTTAGTCCTTATACTCTCTCTGGCATAATTTAATGTCTACTCAATTTGAATGACCAAATGTCCCTATAACCATATAGATAAAATAACGATTGGGAAACTCTTAATATTGTATGTGTATTTACAACGATACACAAATGTTTATAGTCACTCTGCGTACAACTCTTTCCACCTAAGTAGTTTTCAAGAGGTTTCGCTTACGTGTAACACTTACCTTACCCATAGAGTAGAGTATAGTGGGTTTCTTTAATCGGAATAGCATTTCTTTCTATCTTCAATCACTTCTGATACCGTCGTTTATCCGGTAGAGCTCGTCAATCTCCTTCGCTTGTGCTGATGATTTCCATGCTGGACAGCCACCACCTAATAGCTGAGTAGGTATAGAGATGTATTGTTTAATATGGTCGTAGGCCTGTAGTCTAGTTTCTATGAACTAGTGATTGTATTTTTAGTGATTCTTCGTGTTAACCTTAGCTTTTGTGTTTTAGTAGCGTTTCCAATAGGTTATTTGACTAAGCTACTTAAAGGCGTTTGGCACATTGTGAGTGGATCAAGGTCACTCCATGTCACTTAAATACACGGAGTTCACGCGCTACCTGTCTATTTTTTCTATGTAACTCATATTTGTATCCATGGATGGTTGTATTTTAGTTGGTTTTCCACAGATAATGCGTGGAAGTCTTTTTGGGATTATGTAAAATATTCTTTAGTTTCTTGAAAGAACGTACATTGCGCTGCTATCGCTAAATACGTCGTCAGAATATATGAAAATGCTTCATAGAAATAGCACATATGATTTGGGTATGATAAATTATGCGTAATTTATGTATCGTACCTCATGTTGTGGATACAGATTAGCTGGTGTGAACATTTACGTAATATTGGGTTCTTCGTAATACCTTTGATTAATTATTCTGTTTCTGTATTTTGGTATCGTATTACTCGTATTATTAATTAAAGTAGAGTGATTATCACATTATTTGTATCTGTACTTTGATTTTTATGATATATCAATATTATCAAACGAGCTATGACTAAGTAAAATATTATAAAACAAAAATGTCTGTATCTCTCTTATAATTGATATCTTTTAACTAATCAACGTCCATATACAAATATTGTTTTGCCTTTGATTTTGATAAGATATAGTATGTATTCTTATATAAATCTAACAACATAAAATTCGTTCTGTTCAACGCAAATTTGCTAAATTGTATGTTTGTGTAAGGTGGAGACAACACTGAAGACATGTTGGTGTCCTTCACATTTTGGCTACCACTCAATATGTCCTAATAATGTCGCTAATAAAATTAAATAGCTCTCCGTTTACGTCTGTTTTATGTACTTTCGATATGCATCGAAAGTACTCGGTAAAATTGGCTTTGTTAAATCGGAATAATTATGCATCGTTTAATATTATATAAAATTTAAAAAAACAACAAAAACAAATAATTACTCTTTAATCTTCGTAATATTTATGATTTATAATGATATAAGGTCATAAAGTAGGTATAATATGTAACTTTACAAGTAACGAGCAAGAAGTAGGTAATAACATTTTAAAAGTAGTGACTAGTGATATTATCATAACGTATGTTGGAGTTACGTGTATTTACTACAAAATGAGTGGAAATATTAAACTTTGATGTTTTAATGTGATATTTAAAGTGATACATATTACATTATTATAGCTAGGTACCTAATAAACAAAATAGATCCGATAATTCTGTTTTAGTTATAATATATATAAGTACCTACTAAACATTTGAAAATAATCACCATTGTTTATCGCGCCAAACTGATCCTGATAATGTAGTGAATATATCAGCTACGATATTATTTATTAATAATTGTTCTTATAATAGATAGTAATACAATTTAAAATTGTGTACCAACAATAGAATATTTAAATGTTTTTTTTTTAAATTGTTTATAGGTACCTATCAAATTTAATAGCATTACGTTTTCGATTATATATATTATTTAGTATCCGAGATTATTAGATGCGATATTTAAAGAGTAACGAATATTTATAATAACAGAGTTAAAATTGGATTATAAGTGCTTACATTTAAATGAAAATGTAAAATATTTCAATTTTTATTATTAAATTGTTGAATTGTATGTAAAATTCGTGTTCTGTAAACTGAAATATTAAAGGACTTAAGGAGTCTTTAATGTTAAGAGATAGGGTGGAAAGTCGTAATAAATTATGAAACATTTTAAACCTTTATCGTTTTCATAGATATATTTTATCGCTTGACTAAATGCGAAAATTGTTGGTATATAATATTTCTTAAACAATAATAAATATAAAATAACTCATTATTTATTTTTAAAAAAGAAAAAAAATATACTTATCGATTTTGAAATAGTAGATTAGAGTTATATCAACTAAATTATTGTGAATGTTTTATTTTATTTTAAACCGATCGTAAAACGCGCATTGTCCTGAATTCCAAGCCATAATTTACCAACTTATAAATATAAATTATAATAATTAAAAACAATACATTACTTTATATAAATCGTACTACTTTTATTAGCAAAAAATTATTTTAAGGAAATCAAAAGCTTTATCGTTATAAAAAACGCAGTAAGTCCCAAGTATGTACATTGAAAATAAACAATGACCTACTAAGTAAACAACAAATTCAAGGCAGTTATTTATGATTTCTGAATCCAGAAATGGTTTCTTTTTTTACAAAGATATCAACTGGTATGGCATGTCCAACAGTCAAGAACATAATGATAAATAATAGTCAATTCTATCCAAGCATATTATAATAATATGTGACACACAGTGCATACCATCGAATAATAATACCACAAACTAATATTGCATTTTGATTATATATTTTTCACATAAGTTTTTTATTACTCAACTCTTTTATTTACCCACATTTTCACCAGGACATTCGGACAGGAAATATTATA